ATATACATACATACATACATACATACATACATACATACATACATACATACATACATACATACATACATACATACATACATACATACATACATACATACATACATACATACATACATACATACATACATACATACATACATACATACGCACCAGTGGCGTGCGGTCCAGCAAGCGCAGGCAAGCGCCGCTTGGCCTAACATTTAGATCTCAACAAAAATATTTGGAGATAATTTTGAAATCAACAATTCTAGATCTTTACTAATAAAACAGATTAAAAACATTGTTTATTACAGCGCCTATTCCAGCTCGAATACTGCTTGGAGTCGCAATATAGACAGTTCAAAATCACTTCTAAGGGATAATACATTGACCTAAAATGAGCAATTAAATTACTCAAGGAAACGCTGCACGGCATGGAATTGTCAAAATCGCCAATTAACATCGCTATCGATAATATGAATAATCAACCAACCATCACTGACAATGTCGTACTAATTGATATAGAAGAATCTGAAGTTAACGTAAACACTAATATGAATAATTTGCCATCTGCGACAGACAATGAGAAACAATACAATACCCGAAGGCCTGTTGTTAATGACTCTCTTATGAGGAATCCAATGCATAATTCCCCAACTAACAGAACGCATTTCTCGAAACCTAATTACCGGCGCAATCAGTTTTCTAAGCCTAAACATCAATATCGTCAAGCAAATTTTCCCTCAAAGATTTTTCGAAGCGGTCGCTATCGGAGGATTCCGAAACCAAGAACAACAGCAGACAATACAGAAACAAGAGCAAGTCAAATTAAACTAATTGCAAGCTACCTATGGTTCATTTTTCAATATCCAAGCCTTAAAAAGTAAACTAACCGTTGTTTATGCATCTGCTGAACTCAAATCGAAACCTGTTTTTGACACGATAAAGAAAATAATCAAACTTGACTTACAAAGTTGCTTTCCTGAAGTTTATCGATTATGTCAACTCATCCTTACAATGCCAAGCACCTCAGCCTCGGCTGAGAGATCATTTTCAGCGCTCAAGCGCATTAAGAAGTATCTTCGCAGCACGCAAGGACAAGATCGGCTTTCAGCATTGGCTACCATCTCGATCGAGAAAGAACTTTTGACTTGTTTGCAAGGGAAACCAGAGTTTTATGACAATGTTATAAAGGAGTTTTGCGCGAAGGAAAGACGAATGAAATTTACATTTAAATAGTTTTACTAACTTTTTTATATACATTTTTGTTATAACGCTTATGATGTAGTCATATAAACTGAGTAAATATATGAAATATATATATAATATATTTATACCCCTAATTAACAGACATTTCATGATTTATAATTTTTAAAGATTTTTTTTGCCTCGTGTATTTACTATATTTTAGTAGTGATTTTGGTCATTTTACCACAGGGTGAAACACACACCAATTCTTTGTCATTTCTTCCCAAAATCGCCGTAAATGCCATCCCAGGGCTTTACAATTTCAAAAATTTTCTGGGGGGCATGCCTCCAGACTCCACCTAGAAGGGTTCGCGGCTTCACCGCGAACACCGCTTGCCTACCCGATTTGTTCACCGCACGCCACTGATACGCACAAACATACACACATAAAAATTTATTTAAACACTTTAGCCCTAATTTTCCCTATAATTTTCACATTTATCAAACTCGTTTAATTTCAATCGTTAACATAAATACCACTTTGAAGAGATAAATTAAAAATATACGATAAGGAAGGGGCAATAATATTGGCAGCTAGTTTTACTAGTATTTTCGCTGTGATGGCGTCTAGGGCAGTGGATTTATTGGCTTTGAGGTTTTTCAAATTACAGAGGACACTACCAACCTTAAGCAGAGAAAAATTAAATTTATCATTAGTTTGGGAATGGATGTTGGTATCAGAGAACTGAAGATTTCTCCACTTTCGTTTGGCGTATCATTCTCATCAGGGTACAATCCAATGTTGATGAAGTGTTTATTAAAATGTTCTGCAATGAGATTAGGGTCCGTGATGACATTTTCACCAACTTTAAGCTCTCTAATGTAATTGGATTTATTTTGTTTCCCTAGAAGAGAATTTATTGTAGGCCGGCATTTTTTTAAATCCTTAGTGTCCGCACATTCAGATATTTTGTTAATATAGAAAGTAGATTTGGTCTCACGTATTAGTTTATTAACTTTATGACGCAATCACTTATAATTATGCCAATGCGAATCAGATTTCAGTTCCATAGCTTTTTTCTTATGGTATTCTCTTCTTCTCATAGCTAACCTTATTGCCGCTGTCATCCACGGAATGGTGTATTTCCCTGATCTTATATGTCTATAACAGGAGCATGTTTATGTAGTGTTCTGATATTCCAACTCAAGTTTGGATCATTTGTTGTAAAGTGGTTTGTCAAGGAATATTGGTTAGGTCGGATATAAATTCTGTTACAGAAAAGTGTTTAATTAAAATTACGAACTTTTTTAATAGTTGGCCTACGTTTAAGTGGTTTGAATTTGTGAACCGCATCTATTAGGCTGTGATCTACAAACGTGGATGATGCCAGCATGAGATATTTTTCAGGAGCATTTGTCAGAATAAGGTTAATTATAGTAGCAGACGTTCTCCCAACCCTGATTGGTTCTTCTATTAACTGGGCCATGTTATATAATGTATTTATAGATTGAAATCTAATTGTATGCGCTTCTGGTGGGGATTTAGCAACATCACAGTTTATATCTCCTAATAGAATTAGTTATTTGTTTTCAGCATCACAATTAAGAAGAAAAATATCGTATGCGTCAAATAGATCCATACTTGAATTAGGTGGTCTATACCATGTGCTAACTAGAAATGACCTGTTGAAAGGTTGATTAATTTCTATACAGATCATTTCTAGTTTATTTGGAACTAAGTAATTTCTAAGCAAAATTGAGAGGTATTCTTGAACATATATTACAACACCACCTCCATTTCTATTTATATCTCTTCTAGCTACTTTATAACCTGGTATACTTATTTCAGAGTCATTTACTAATGAATCAATTTCGATTCGTTGATAGCAAAGATGTGAAAGGAGTACTGTGATAAAATACAACGAAGATGTTCTATATTTTTTAATAGACTACCAAGTTTCAGACCTTTTAGTTTTCCCATGCATTTGAATTGGGCAGTAGGTTACATCTTTATCATGCTGTGACTCGGGTGTTAGGGGGCTGATGGGGCTAGAGATGTTAAAAAGTTTCCCAGTTGTAACAGTTGGCTTGTCTGAAAATCCTGACCAAACTTTCTGTTTCCTTGCCTTGTTCTTAATTGTTTGCGTGTTCGTTGTATTGCCTTCTCGAATAAATTTAATGAAATTGACAGCTAAGTAGGCAGATCCTTTAGCGTTTAGGTGGATCCTTTTAAGGCAGTCTTACATCATCATTATAAAACCATAATCCTGACATACACCAACCCAAACATGTTTAAATGATTTAAACATGTTTGGGTTGGTGTATTTGTTTTCTTTATTTTCTCTGTTAGGTCACAGTCTTCCCGGGTAACAATGCTTGATATTGCAAGAAGGAAATTTTAAAATTTGAATCCCGTTAATGGCATTTACAGCATTCTGAGACACGCATAATCAGAAAACCCCGAATTCCGGGCGCCAGAGTATGCCTGTTCGCAGGTAGTGCTGTGAATAATATAGTTAACAACAAAAATCATGACCAAAGACACCAAAAACAGATCAAAATTGTATTTTAAAATACTTAAAACGTAGAAAAATTGGGAATCGACTCGCATTACCTCAATCCCATTCCCATTTTTGAGGACTTCATTTCCCATTCCCAGTGGCCAAATCCCAGTCCCAGCAACCCAAATCCCATTTTCCCAGTCTAAAAATAGATCAATCCCAGTTCCCATTTTACCCCTTCAGGACCCTCATTGCAATTCTTGATGTTGGAAATTTAGTTTTTAAATTAGAAGCTAATTGCCCAACTTTTTCAGCACAGGTTTCTGCTGTGTCAACAGGCAGGTTGTTTGTTCCAGCATGAATTATAATGTGGGAGGGTGTTGATTTTAACTTGATTTGGTCTAATTGGTTAGATATTTCATCAGCTGTTTTGCCCGGAAAGGTTATTTTCGTAACATTTCTACTCGATATTTTTTTCGGTATTATATATTTGATTATTGAGTCTCCAATAATAACAATTTGGCTTTCTCGATCTAAGTTCATGTTGTTTTGGAGATCATTATGGTTATTTGGTAGTAACTCTGGCTTACCTTCTATCATCTGTGTACCCGAGTCTTTCCGGTTAGGCTCTTGTTCGTTTATCACGTTGCATTCAACAGTGACTTCCTCCTCAGCTACTTGAATACCGGTACCCAAGTCTTCCCCGACAGTTTCTTGTTTATCAACATCTGTATGTTCACTATCATCCTCTACTGTAAGTATATCAAACGTATTCTTGCATTCAAGTATGTTCTCAAACTGTAGTTTTGAACCCGTTTTTCCATGCCAGAGTTTTGTTTTAATTTATCATCAACATTGGTGGAGGCACCAATTTCATTTTTACGCCAGTCGTTCATCGCAATTTCTTTTCCTTGTAAGATTTTACGTGCGGTCACTAGACATTGCTTTTCCTCATCTAACAATTTAAGTTTGGTATTGAGATCTGACATTACCATAGTAGTATACTCAATTTTTCCTTTAAGGGCAGTGTATTCTTTCTTGAGATTTTCATTCTCATGTTTTATATCCGTAATATAGTCACGTGATATCTTTTAATGAAGGTCATCAGCCTTCTTTAAGTTGCATACCTGCAGTGCCATGTAATCAATTTTTGTGTATAGCTTCTCCTCGATAGTTAATATTCTCTCTAAGATTTGTGCAAAAGCATCCGCCTCACTCAGTTCAGACGAAAATACCTCATTTATTGCTGTTAGGTTAAGACACTCTTTCTCTATTTCATTAACAATGTGGGTCCATGCCGTCGTCAATAGTAATTCTTGTGTTCTGGTCAGCTAAGTTTTGGGATATTGCAATTGAGGCCAATGTCATTAGTTGTTCCTCTATTGTTCCTATGGTGTCCTCGCTGACAGTTATCGTTTTTGAGTTTCTATACCACTTAATTTTGGTACAGCTTAGCATCGCCTCCAAGAGAGAGCCATTTCCCGCCCGTTAAGTTCAACGTTCCTTCTACAAAGCTTGTAGTTCATCAATTGATCCTGTTCATAATATTTTCCCCTTGCTATTAAGACACAAGTTGTATATAAGACTTCCTCCTTTATTTTCTTGATTCATTTCGGCTGATATCAATTTACACTTTGATGTACTCGGAGGGATTTAGTTGGAGGGATTTAAGCTTGTTTAAGGATAAAGAAGCTTAATAGTCATTAATTTTAGTAAATTTGAAACAGATCGCGTAAAAATTGAGCCAAGATTTAACACAAAAATGTTACAATTTAGCAGAGCTCGAAGTTAGACGTCCATGTTGACTCCGGTGCTTCCACTTTCAAATTGAAGCCTGTATTACGTAAATAACATACCTAACATATACATGTTTGGGAAATTGATAATTGTGTAATTAAAAGTGATATTTTTAGGCCATTTTTCAATTATAAAAATATTCTTAATTAATAAAATTATCGTGTTACCACGACAACTACTTTAAATGCTTCATGTTTGAAAAATATAATGGTTTTGTCGGCAAGGAGATGGTTTCTGCATGCATGTATTTTCCAGTTATAGTATTAAACTCTTCTGCTTTTCCTTGTTGTCTTTAAAGTAGGTGATAATTAACGGCGCAACTGAAAATTTCTGTATAGTCGAGTTGTGTTTTTTTTTTAATTTAAATATGTACGTAGCTATATGTCGAAAAACGAGAAAGATCATTCAACATAGTTATAGTCAACAAGTTAGATTTTGTTTAGTTGTGAACAGATTAAAAATAAAGGCCTGTTTAAATGAGACCAATTTGCCAGATAGCTCAGCTGAGTGAGATAAATTATTTTGTGTTTGTAAAACTGTTTTTATCCCGCCTAATATCCCGCCTCCGTGGAACGATATTAGAGACCTTACGATTTTAGGACGGCAACGTGACGGCAACGGCCAAAACAAACTCCTTCAAATAAATGGTAGTAAAGTTAGTTCGTCGTATATTATCAATCGTATGAATTTAATACAGTCTTAGAAGAGGAAGACATGGGTTTTATGTTTGGGAAGAGTTCTGCTAAGCCCAGTTTGCACTTGTTGTGGCTTGGAATGCAGCCGTTGTATCAAGACGTGAAAATCTGTGATTTAGCGTTGTAAACAGAGCGAGGACAATGTCTAAATTATATATAAAAATATTGTAATTACACAATTCCTTTCAATGATCTATTGTATATTGGTAGCCGTTGCCGTCCTAAAATCGTAAGATCTCTATTATGTGAACATGACGTCCTCGAAATATGTTGTCGTAATAAATTAAAACAAAATGCACCTTGTTGCACTACCTTAACCGTATGTCTGCTTAGATATATTGACGTTTATTTTTTGTTTGGATTTTACAAAAGTTTACTATATTACAATACTATCTTATAATTCAAATCGGAAAATTTCCGTCCCGATCAGGTAGGATAAGGCCTTCATATTCAAAATTTGACTCCCTTGACTGAGATCACACCCATAGCGCAAGGCAAGATCTCACATACCCACGGACTGGCTCTTCCTCACATGAACACCAATGGAATTTTATATATGCGTTAACAAGCGGCATGCATATATTCCACTCTGCATTGTGGGTTTCCCGGTTATAAGAGTTACAGCTGTTACTTATACCTTAAAGAAGAGACTTTTGCATGCTATGATAATTTCCAACTTACACTTACCATCCCATGATTCGGTAGCATATCCCCCGAATATGAAAGCACCAACTTTCACTAATGTCAAAGTTGGTTTTTTCTCGTCGCATCTGGAGTGGAATTTTTTGGAATCCCAACCATCTGTTGTTGCTCGCCAGCAAACGCTCCAATTTCCTCGACCTTCTTGTGGCAACCATCCACTCAGGGTCTGTCGAAAACTCAGCGGCTCGTTTTCTAGTATATCTATGTGTAATTTCCAAAATACAAGTCTGAGACGATTTACTTTTCTTTCGAAAAATATTATGAATATGCATAATTTAAATAAATTACTAAATTAATTAAATTAACCAAGTATTGCATTTTCAATTCTTATTTTAAAACGGCATTCGAAATTGAAAGACCAACGTAATTTGATTGTTTTTATATTGAAATAACAACAGGTTTGTGGGGCAAAATTTTATAGCCAAATAAAGTCGGAAGAAAATGATTTCTATAAACAGAATTATGAACCATTTTGTTGAGACATATTGCTAACACATTTACCATCTACAACCACGTATTTTTTGATAATTTCAAAAATTGCTGGAAATTAATGAATTTAGTAGGTTTGGAAAGTTTGTGACGTGAAAATTGTTGGTAGATACGTTTTGCTAAATGTTATCTAAAATCTGAAAGAAATGCATTGCTGTCTGCTCGATAAAAATTCTATACGGGCATATCAATATTGCGTGTGGAAAAGATAGAGACAAATCGCAATTTCTGTCTGGGCTACATTGTGGTTGCAAATGTTTGCTCAACAGAATTTTGTGGTAGTATCATGGTGTCGATTCTATTGTTCGAAAAAATTGTAAAACTAATGTTCATGGATATAAAAAATCGGGACTCTATAAGGTTAATGCTGTAAAATATACCTGAACATGTTTTCCCTTGTCCAAAATATCCATTAAGGCATATACACTCGTATGAAGTTCCACTGATGCATTTTTCCTTAGAGTTACATGGTTGATGTGCACAATTGTCTATGCAACAGAAGATGAAAATAAGATCATTCTGATTTGTAAATCACGTTAAACAATGGTTTCAACTGTAAATAGTAAATTGTATTATTTCTGGGACAAACAGGTATCCCCCGACAAGTCATTGTCACGGGTCATAATTTCTCGTGTTCACATGAGCAAAGTTAACGTGGTTCATGTCCACAAATAATTTACGCGGGATCATTAACAATTCGGCGCCAACGTAAAACGGTAAATTATTTTCAAAAATACAACATTCTGATAAACAGCGTTCGTTGTTTATGTTTATAAATAGAGCATAGTCGATTATCTATGGTAGATAAATGTGGTGTTATTGCTGTTTCTGGACGAAAATATGAACGTTTTAGGTTGCATAATAATTTTCCGGGGTTCAAGAGTGATATACGCGGCAATATTAATTACTTGAATATTTTTTATATTAATATATATTTATTATATTAATATTTTTTATAATTTATATTAATTTATAAAGTTTTCGAAAGGTATCTTCAAATATTAACTACTTCCTGCTTTCCATGAAGTTTACGTCCTTTGTAAATGTAATTAAGATGAATATGATGGTTTTTTGCAATATTAATGATGTATTACATTTCTTCTCAGAGTTATCCAAATATTTGGGCGACATGCGAAGTTTCCTTCAAAGCATTCGTTACGGCCAGAAACAGTGAAACCGTAACGGTTGGTTAGTTTTCAGGTTATGTGCAGGTTAACCTAATCCTATAACGAAATTGAATTTCGCTATTTTGTGTTGTTTATGAGGAACAAATAAATTGTTTTATAAAAAAACTTAATACCTGTGCAATTCTTTATCCCGTCCCCCTCGTATCCAATTTTGCATCGACATACGTACGAGCCATGAGTATTGATGCAATTTGCATTTGGGTGACAAGTGAAGTTTCTTTCAGAGCATTCGTCAATATCTGAAATGATCAAAATATTATGATTAAATATTTGTTTAGCATGACTTCAGTGTAATGGATTGTTTTCATAAAAAAATTTTATACCTGTGCAGTTGTTTGTTCCATCGCCCACGTATCTTTTCTTACATTGACATGTGTATGAGCCTTGAGTATTGATGCAAGTTGCCTTTGAGTGACAAGTGAAGTTTCCATTAGAGCACTCATCAATGTCTGAAATAGTCAAAATATTATGACTCAAAAATTGTTTAGCTTCACTTCAGTGTCCAAAATATATTGATAAGAAATTTATATTTAGAGTTAGGGGCCCTTTTACTAAAATAGAGTGTACCTGTGCAAGCACGTCCAAGCCCATGATAACCAGTTCGACATTCGCATAGATAGGAACCTTGAGTGTTTGAACACGTTGCATTCAAATGACATTCGTTGGTCGACTCCTCAGAACATTCATCAATATCTGAATAATTGCAAGATTTTAGTTATTAGAAATCTTTAGATACGTAAAATGATTTGAGTCAAAGAAAATAATGGACTGTTTTCATCAGAAATCTTTATACCTGTGCAATTCTGTTTTCCAATCCCCTCGAATCCGTTTTTACATTGACAGTTGTATGAGCCTTGAGTATTGATGCAAGTTGCATTTGGATGACAAGTGAAGTTTCCATCAGAGCATTCATCAATGTCTGAAATAGTCAAAATATTATGGCTCAAAATTTGTCTAGGTTGACTTCAGTGTCTGAAATACACTGATAAAGAATATATTTTTAGAGCAAGTGCCTCTTTTGCTGAAATAGAGTATACCTGTGCAAGCACGTCCATGGCCACGATATCCAGCTCGACATTCGCATTCATACGAACCTGGAATGTTTGAACAAGTCGCATTCAAATGACATTCGTTGGTGGACTCCTCAGAACATTCATCAATATCTGAATATTTGCAAGATTTTAGTCCTTAGAAATCTTTAGAAACCTAAAATGATTGACTCAAAGAAAATAAAGGATTGTTTTCCTAAAAAACTTTATACCTGTGCAATTCTGTTTTCCATTCCCCTGGAATCCGTTTTTACATTGACATTCGTACGAGCCTTGAGTATTGATGCAAGTTGCATTTGGGTGACAAGTGAAGTTTCCATCAGAGCACTCATCAATGTCTGAAATAGTCAAAATATTATGACTCAAAATTTATTTAATTTGACTTCAGTGCACAAAATATATTGATAAGGAATTTATATTTAGAGTTAGGGGCCTTTTACTAACATAGAGTGTACCTGTGCAAGCACGTCCAAGTCCATGATATCCAGTTCGACATTCGCATTCATACGAACCTGGAGTGTTTGAACAAGTTGCATTCAAATGACATTCGTTGGTCGACTCCTCGGAACATTCATCAATATCTGAATATTTGCAAGATTTTAGTCCTTAAAAATCTTTAGATACCCAAAATGATTGACTCAAAGAAAATAATGGATTATTTTCATAAAAAACTTTATACCTGTGCAATTCTGTTTTCCATTCCCCTGGAATCCGTTTTTACATTGACAATTGTATGAGCCTTGACTATTGATACAAGTTGCATTTGGGTCGCAACTGAAGTTCCCTTCTGAGCATTCATCAATGTCTGAAATAGTCAAAATGTTATGGGGCCAACAATTTTACATCATACTATAACACACCACACGATTGCAGGCCACACTATACAACAACATATCATACCATACCATACCATACCTCGCCATGTATACCACACCAACCCATACCACACCACACCACACCATACCATACCATACAACACAATACCAACCCACACCACTCCATGCTATACCACATCAAAACATAG